GAGGGTTTTACAAACTTTTTCTTCAATGTACCTTATGGATTCCGGTCTGATGTTGAGGTCTTTAATCCACTTTAATCTTCCTTTTGTACGTGGTGTTAGGCAGAGATCTGAGCCCAATTCTTTGCATGTAGCCATCCAGTTTTGCCAGCACAGTTTGTTAAAGAGGCTTTCCTTGCTCCACTTCACTTTTCTTGCCCCCTTATCAAAGATTAGATGGTCGTATGCTTGGGGAGAGATGTCAGTAAATTCAACCCTGTTCCATTGGTCTACAGCTCTGCCTTTGTTCCAGTACCATGCTGTTTTATTATTACTGCTTTGTAGTAGAGTTTGAAGTTAGGGAGGTTGATTCCTCCCATTTTCTTTTTCCCAAGAATTGCTTTAGCTATTCGTGGGGTCTTATTTGTTCCATATAAATTTCGGGTCTTTTTTTTTTTCTTTTTACACAACACGGCATAGTCTGGCAAACTCCCTGTGGCGTACCCAATATGCCAAATACCAGTAACAATGATGGGTCTCATTCTCCTAAAGAGCCTTGAATATAATCTCGGGGCTAGGATGAAGGAGACGTTACTGGGGCCTGCTCGAGGCAGTCGACGAATAACAGGATGATTTGTGATTTATGATAAATTTCAGGAGTGTTTGCTCCATTTCTTTGAAGAATGTCATGGGTATCCTAATAGGGATTGCGTTGAATTTGTACAGTACTTTTGGAAGTAATGCCATTTTAACAATGTTAATTCTCCTGATCCATGAACAGGGGGTATTTTTCCATTTCCTCATGTCCTCTTTTATTTCCTGAAGTAGCGTTTTGTAGTTTTCTTTGTACAGGTCCTTTACTTCCTTAGTCAAGTTGATTCCTAGGTACTTGATTTTCTGGGGCACAATTGTGAACGGGATTGTTTTCTTCATGTCACTTTCTTCTCTTTCACTATTTGCGTATAGGAAAGCCATGGACTTTTGGGTATTGATTTTATATTCTGCGACTTTACTATACAAGTCTGTTGTTTCTAGGAGTTTCTTGGTAGAGGTTTTAGGGTTCTCTAAGTATAATATCATATCATCTGCAAATATGAGAGCTTGATTTCTTCCTTTCTTACCTGGATGCCCTTAATGTCTGTTTCTTGCCTAATCGCTGTTGTAAGTACTTCCAGTACTATATTGAACAGCAGTGGAGAGAGTGGACATCCTTGTCTCGTCCCTGATCTTAGGGGGAAGGCTCTCAGTGTTTCCCCATTGAGGATAATGCTTGCTGTAGGCTTGTGGTAAGTAAAGTAAAGTAAAGGCCCTCCCATTGATCATCGATTTGCTCGAGCGGGCCCAGTAATGTCTCCATTGGAGACTTTGTTGTTACTGTGTCTGGCATATCGAATACATCACGGGGAGCTTGCCAGGCTCTGCCGTGCGGGCGAGATACTCTCGGTAGCTTGCCGGGCTCTCCGAGAGGGGCGAAGGAATCGAACTCTGGTCGGCCATGTTGGCTGCGTGCAAGGCAAACGCCCTCCCGCTGTGCTATCGCTCCAGCCCCTACCAGTAGGCTTGTGGTAGATGGCTTTAACTATATTAAGGAAAGTCCCCTCTGTCCCCATTTTGATGAGGGTTTTCATCATAAACAGGTGCTGGATCTTGTCAAATGCTTTTTCTCCGTCTATTGATATGATCATATGGTTTCTACCTTTGCTTTTGTTGATATGATGGATTATGTTGATCGATTTCTGAATGTTATACCATCCTTGCATCCCCGGGATGAATCCCACTTGGTCATGGTGTATGATCTTCTTGATGAGTTGTTGAATTATATTTGCTAGTATTTTGTTGAGAATCTTCGCATCTGTGTTCTTCAGGGATATCGTCCTGTAGTTTTCTTTTTTTCTTTCTTTTTTTTTTTTTTTTTTGCTTTTTGGGTCACACCCGGCGATGCACAGGGGTTACTCCTGGCTCTGCACTCAGGAGTTACCCCTGGCAGTGCTCAGGGGACCATATGGGATGCTGGGAATCAAACCCAGGTCGGCCGCGTGCAAGGCAAACGCCCTACCCACTGTGCTATCTCTCCAGCCCCTAGTTTTCTTTTCTTGTGGTGTCTTTGTTTCCTTTTGATATTAGAGAGATATGGGCTTCATAGAAACTGTTTGGGAGAGTTCCTGATTTTTCAATTTCCTGGAAAAGCTTGAGAAGGACTGGCAGTAGGTCCTCTTTAAATGGTTGGAAAAATTCGCTAGAGAATCCATCTGGACCTGGGCTTTTGTTTTTGGAAAGACTTTTGATTAGTTTCAATTTCCTTGATGTTAATAGGTCTATTCAGGTACTCTGTATCTTGATTCAGCTTTGGGAGATTATAGGAATCCAGGAATTTATCCATTTCTTCTAGGTTCTCTTGTTTCGTGGCATACAGACTTTCAGAGTAGTTTCTGATGATATTCGGGACTTTTTTGGTTTCTGTTGTGATATCCCCCTTCTCATTTCTGATTCGGTTTATTAGGGTTCTCTCTCTCTGTTTCTTTGTGAGTGTTGCTAGTGGTTTATCTATCTTGTTTATTTTCTTGAGGAACCAGCTCTTGGTTTCATTGATTTTTCAGATTGTTTCTTTGGTTTCCATGTCATTGATTTCTGCTCTAAGTTTTATGATCTCTTTTCTTCTGCCTGATTTAGGCTCTTTCTGTTGATCCTTTTCTAAGGTCTTCAGCTGTGAGGTTAAGTTGTTTATGTGCATCCTTCCTACAGTTCTAAGATATGCAGAGCTATAAATTTTCCCCTTAATATGGCTTTCGCTGCATCCCATAGTACGAACATAATATTTTAAGAAATTCTATTTAAATTTAGTTTTAGGGTATTTAATAGAATCTTTGGCCTCATAGAATGAGTTGAAAAATATCCTTTAATCTTTAATTTTCTGTTTGTAAATTTTATTTTATTTCTTCCTTACATGTTTTATAGAATTCATTAGTGAAATTATATTGCTTAGTGAATTAGAAGATTGTTTAAGGCGTCTGTATACTTAGAAATTCTTTGTCCTCTTACTAGCTATTCACGGATATTTGTGAACAGGAGGAGGGTGAAATTTGTATTGTTTGCACAATTTTAATGAATATAAGTGAGCAAATAAAAGGAATGTGAATGTTACAATAGACTGATGAGGAACAAATACTGCACAATTTTAAGACCAGGAAGGGAAATGGGTAATATCAAATCAGTATTTATAATCAAGGTTTAGAGGGTATATAAAATAACTGGATTTCATCAACTCCTAACTCTACACATCAATAATTAAGAATTCTTATGAGAAGGTGCGTGAATGGAGACAGTAAATAGGCAGACATCAATTGGTAATTAGGTAGCAGTTATAAAAAAAATTGAGAGGTAGTTTTTTATTTTGTTTTGTTTTGGGGTCATACCTTGCAGTGCTCAGGGGTTACTTCTGACTCTCCGTTCAGAATCATTTCTGCCAGTACTTGGTATGCTAGCTGTCAGACCCAGATCAGGTATGTGCAAGGCAAACGTCATACCCCCTGTACTATTAAGCTTTGGTTTCTGGTTTCTCACATTTTTTTCAGCATAACAAGTCCTCAGCAGCATCAACATGAAAATGACATTTCTTACTGTAAGTTTATTACATGGCAAACTGTGCTAAGAATGTTAGGATGTTATATATAGCTGAAGATATATTTCTGCCTTATGAAGTTGAGATTTGATAGGGCAGAGTATCATGTCGAGGGTTCACCCAGACAGGAAATAATCAATCTGGGATTCGAGCTTGCTCTATTTTTATAGTGCATCTGTTACTAATTTTACTATTTTAACTTTGCCATAGAAGAACCTTTTCATCCAGATTTTGTGCGGTTTTCTTCCTCCCTCCTTCCCTCCCTCCCTCCCTCCCTGCTTCTCTTCCTTCCTTCCTTCCTTCCTTCCTTCCTTCCTTCCTTCCTTCCTTCTCCTTTTTCTTTACCCTCTTCCTTTTCCTTTCTTTTTTCTTTGTGAAGCAAGAAAGTTTTTATTGAATCTTATTTAGAAAGATATAAGGGGAGAGAAAGGGAGAAGTGTGTGTTCAAGAAAGAACACAGGCTTTTTCCACAGTGGGTATAGGTAATCAAAGAAACATAGACAAGCAAGCAAGATACGTATTCAAGGGAGAACATGAACTTGAAGAGTAAGCTGTAGGGTTTTCTTTTTCTTTCTTTTTTTTTTTTTCATTTTTGCAAGGTACTAGGGATGGTGCCCAGGACCTCACATAAAGAAGGCATGATCTCTGCCACTCAGTCATATCCCCAAACTCTTGGTCAGAGTTGCTAGAGTAGCTCTTATTTAGTTAATGACTTTTAAGAATCTTTGAAATGAGAACTGTATTTTACACGACAGCTTCTACATGTATGTGTGCATGCTTTGTGTGTGTGTGTGTGTGTGTGTATGTGTGTGTGTGTGTGTGATGTTTGTTTAGTGGATTGCATTTTATGGAACTAAACTTGTTTTTGTTGTATATATATTTATATATATTTTCTATCGATTTTCTTCTCTTTCTAGTAGTCCACTAATGGGTAGCACTGTAGCACTGTCCTCCCATTGTTCATTGATATGCTCGAGCGGGCCCAGTAACGTCTCCATTGGGAGATTTGTTGTTACTGTGTTTGGCTTATCCAATACGTCACAGGTGGCTTGCCAGGCTTTGCCATGCAGGCCCAGTAGCTTGCCGGGCTCTCTGAGAGAGGTGGAGGAATTGTGCAAGGCAAATTCCCTACTGCTGTGCTATCGCTCCAGCTATAATGGGTACAGTTACAAATTTGAAAAGAATTTTGAATAGCAGAAGCTGAAGAGCTGTAGACAGATTGGAGAACATTGTAACTAAACGTGTGTGTATGTGAGGAGAGCTATTGGAGTGGGGAGGAGGAGATATAAATTACCATTTTGATTGATATTTGGAATTTCTGACTGCTTATACGAAGTTGATTGCTTTTAAAATGTTGGTTTTTAAAAGGTAGACTTCAGTAATATTTTTTGTTTGTTTTTGAAAGCTCTCTGATCCTTCTGATTTACCAAGGAATGCCTTTAGAATTTTTACCATTCTTGTGGAATTTTTATGTATTGAGCATATTGATTATGCTTTGGAGACAGGTCTTGCTGGTAAGTATATTTGTGTTAACTCCTTTGATCCCATTTGATTAAATTTATATGTACAATTTTTAAAGCATATTTTATCTCATATACTGTAAATTCAGCAGTGTAATGAACAGTTCTTTTTGAGGTTCTATAATGCCAGGATTTTTCAGGTACTAAAAAGCTGTAAAATGATCTCTTCATATTACTTATATTTAGCAGGGCAGGGATAAACTACTTAAGTCCTTCAGTTGAATAGCAGAGTATAGTACAGTGCTATAAGTTATAAAATATTAAGGAAACAAAGTGATAGTAGTTAATAATTAAAGGACTTGAGTAATATAAGTATAGAGGGGGGAAATATTCCAAATTAAGTCTATAAGGAGTAAATTTAAAATTGTTTTAAATGTTTTTTCCTTTGGTCTTTTATACCGGAATAGTATAATAATGTTTTATTCCTTAAATTCTCCTCTCAGTAATCTAATTGTCCTCATAACCAACCTGCCTATCAGTATGTTACATTTTAAATTTGACATCTGAAATGAAACTTCCATCTTTCACCTAAACCTAGTTTCATCCATTCCTTAACATATCTTTCAAAGGAATTGCTGTTTATTTGAAGTCCCAAATTCAGGAATTACCCTAATTCTCCTTTTCCATCAACCCAATAGTCTTTCAGCAGATCCTTTTAGTATATTTTCAATAAAACTCAAATACATCTTACTTTTTTTGTCTGTGTTGATGCCTCCCAAATTAAACACCATCTGTTCATATCTTATTTCCGAACATTCGTATCTTATTTTCCTGTGTACATTTCTTCCTCTGTATATCTTCCTCCACATAATAGATTGATTAAAGTTTTCATGAAGACCCTTCAGTGATTTCCTTTTCTTCTTAAAGAAAAACAGACATTTTATAAAGCCTGGCTTTGGTTTGGTTTGTATTTGGGGACCACACCTACCTATGTTGGGGCCACTACCAACATATGTAGGTGTGGATTATTCCTGATGTAGTCATCTTCATCGTATACTGCCCTCACTCACCATCTTGTACGTTTCTCACTGCCTCAGTCATTCTGACCTGCATCCATTTCTTTTACTTGCTCAGACTCTTTTTAAAAAATTAATTGAATAAAGTTGTTCACAATGATTTATTGCATAAAATATTCCAACACCATTGTTTCCAGTTTCCCCAACTACCACCTAAGTCTGCCCCAATAGCATGCCCTAAATAATTTATTTTGTATTATTTATTATGAGTATTTCACTAAAAATTGTCCAAAAAAAAAGGTTTCCTTACAATAAAGTGTGTGAAGATTCTTGTATCTAACCCTGGAACAACTAGGCCCTTATATAAGAAGTTACTAACACTTATGTTACAGGTTAAGCCTGTGTGTTAATATTTTCTTGATTGAGATTGGTTGCCTTCTACTTTACATCCCCTCTAATGTGGTGTACTACTCCTGGTTATATTGCAGTGATACAGAGTATGAGATGTCACATGGCTGCATGCTCCAGAAATTCTAAAATTTTGAATAGGGTGTTACAATTGAAGGGTTTTTTTTTGTTTTGTTTTGTTTTTGCTTTTTGGGTCACACCTGGTGATACACAGGGGTTACTCCTGGCTTTGCACAGGAATTTGCACTCGGGAATTACTCCTGGCGGTGCTTGAGGGACCACATGGGATGCAGGTAATCAAACCCAGGTAGAGCTCATGCAAGGGAAACGCTCTACCTGCTGTACTATCGTTCCAGCCCTGAAGTTAAAATTTTAACTGGATGGTGACTTTGGGGTCTGGAAGCATCTCTGCATCTTGTTGATCTCTTTCGAGATTTATTTGTGAATGTCTGAATCATGGCCAGTTAATAAGTTTATATGGCACCGGAGGCAGTTCATGGGTGTGACTGCCAGGCTCCCAGAAGAATAGGAGGAGGGGGAGAGAGGATCCTTTACTATCCTGACTATGACTGTCCTTGACTATTGTGATTATGACTTGTTCAGGCTTTTTACCTTTGTTTTTTCTCTATCTTAAAAGTCCTTTTTTGTTCTCAGATAGACTTTTTTTTGAGTCTTCACATCTCAACTAAGATACCACCTTTTCAGAGAAGCCTTTATTATCATTCTAGCTGAAATAGACCTTTCCCAGCATAGCCATTTAGTGTTTCATCACTAAATGGCTTTTTTCATATCACTTTTCAGAGTGAATTTTTCATCTGTTAATATCTGCCTCTTCATCTAAATAAATGTATTCAGCACACACTGAGTGCTTGCTTCTGTGCTGCTGTTGCTTATATTCCTGAGGAAAAGATAGACAAATGGTAAAGAAGCACAGTGAAGAGAGTAATGATGAAGTGGTGTGGGTAGATTAGGGACAGAGGACTTTCTAAGAAAAGATGATTACAGAAGAAGTTCTCTGAGGTGATAAACAAAACTGAGCTGCATGAAGTGAGGGAGTAAACTGAATATAGGGAGAAAGTGTCTCTGAGATGAAAACAGTAGTTTAAGTTTTTATGACTAGGATGCTAACTTGTTTTATTCTCTTACAGTCTAACACCTAGAAAGGACAGATACTTAAAATTTCCTTAGCGACTATATAAAACCATCATTCCATAAGGGTTTTTTTTAATATTCAGACAGTCAATAAGTTTTTAACCATAAAATGTATTATCCATAATGCAGTAACAATAACTGATCTTACCTATTCTTTACATAGTTTTTCATAATCTAGATAAGTGTTATACCCTGCTTTGTTTTTTTTCAACTTACAGTGTGCTTCTAACCTCAGTATTTAAAACTTGCTTTCTCAAATTTTTCATTTGTTTTGAAATAATATTTATAAAGATATGAAAAGTATGGCTGGAGAGATAGTATAGCAGGTTAGACATTTGCTTTGCAGTTGGCCTGCCTGGTTCACTCCCCAACAGTCCATATGGTTCCCCTAAGCTTGCCAGGAGTGGTCCCTGAGCAGAGCCAGGAGTAAGCCCTGAGCACAGCCATGTGTGGCCATAAAACAAAAAAGTAAATAAATGAAAAATGACTTGAATTTAAAAATAAAGTGTAAAGTAATTTTTATTGAGTAATTTATATTGCATTTTCATTAATAGCAGTACTATCAATTTGGAAAGGTTTAGGAATATTCCTGGTAGGATGACAACTTACAGCTATTAACTTTATATTGCAATAATTTCAAAGGATTGCTTATAATTCTATTATGCATATACAAGTTTACCCATCACTTATAGTAAGCTATCTTGTTTCTTTATAGGAATTTAATAATGTAAATAATACTAAAATGTACATAACAATGCTTGGTGAGTTTTTATTCTGAATTATTATTACTAGTTTTGGGGCCAGGCTGGAGCACAGCAGGTAGGGCCTTTGCCTTGCACGTGACCAATGAGGGTTCAATTCTTCCACCCCTCTCAGAGAGCCCAGCACGCTACCAAGAGTATCTGGCCCGCACAGCAAAGCCTGGCAAGCTACCCATGGCATATTATTTGATATGCCAAAAAGAATAACAACAAGTCTCACAATGGAGACGTTACTGGTACCCGCTGGGGCAAATCGATGAACAATGGGAGGACAGTAACAGTGAATATGTACTAACATTTTTCTCATTTCTCCTGGTGTCTTTAATTTTTATACTTATTGTTGATTTTGTCTCTTTTAAACATCAAAAATCCTTATCTGTAAAGAAATGTAAGTATTAAACATTCATTTTGTTCCTATGAATAATTTTTATCATTTATGTATTTTAATAAAAACAGAAAAATGACGGATAAATTCTCTGAGATCAGCTTTCTCTTTTGGAGACAGAATGTGAAGTGACTTGAACACTATGCTGATAATTAGTATTCTTTAGGAGGAGAATTTATTTATTTATTTATTTATTTATTTATGGCCTCATCCAACAGTGTTTAGGTCTTAACTCTAGTCTCTACATTCAGAGATCACTCCTGGTAGGCTCTGGGAGCAATGGGGTGGGGTCTGGGGGACTGAGAATTGAACCTGGGTCAGCCTTGTGCAAGACAAACCCTTATCCCGCTGTACTATTGCTCAGCCCCCAATATAATTTATTTTATTTTTTGTTTTTGGGGAGGCCTCACTGCTGTGCCCAAGCTAACTACTAACTCTGCCCCCAGAGATCACTTCTGGTGGCACTTGGGTGACAATATATGGTGCTGGGGATTAGCTGTGTGCAAGACAGGCACCTTAACTGCTCTGCTATCTCCCTGACCCTTTGAATAACTTCAAGGAAATAATGAAAAGAGTATAGTGAGTGAAATGTGTAAGTTTACATGCGTTATTATGGCAACGATGTATGACAAAATGAAAATATGTTATCAAGAAACCATTAAGAAAATTGTTTTATCAGATAAGCAGGCCTAGTTATAAGAAAAGTGGGAAAATTTCTTCATGATTCATGCAAATTATTAGGCTTGAGTTAGAAAGAGATGGAGAAGATACAGTCTAGTTTGATTCATTTATTAATTTATTTTTCAGTTTATCTCAAATAATGAAGGCAGTGAAAATTGGACATAACAAGAATTATTATTGTTTTTTGGGCCGCACCACGTGGTACTTAGGGCTTAAATCACACCTGGCTGTGCTCAGGATTTTACTCCTTGCTCTGCACTCAGGTGACAGTATGGGATGCTGGGGATCAAGCCTGAGTCAACTGCATGTATACAGAAGCCATACCTGTTTTTCTGTCTCCCCATCCCCCGGAATAATTTTGGATATATTTCATTAATCTCAATCAAGCTTAAATTTACTCTTCTATTTATAAAAATAATTGATTATTTAAAATTTAATTCTTTTGTATACTTCCGTATTTTAGGAATTCCTTCTTCAGATTCTAGGAATGCAAATCTGTATTTTTTGGATGTTGTGCAACAGGCCAATACAGTTTTTCATCTTTTTGACAAGCAGTTTAATGATCACCTTATGCCACTAATAAGGTTAGTCACATCTTATTTTCATCAATACTTACATGATATTATAATATGCTTATCTTGTTAAATTTTAAAAGTAATGCATGCTTACAAAAAGGTATACAGGACAGTATATCTGTCCTGTATGAAATTAAAAAGTAAAAGAAATTTTGCTTCTTCACGTTTCTGTTTATCTTTGTCTGTGGTATTATCATTTGTAAAGGCTGAATCTGTTGTAAACCTAAATATGCCAAAGAGGAGCTCTGTGACAGTCATAAAGTTTGATCTTTTTTAGAATATCTACTAGGCACTCTACTTTTACACATGTTCCACAGTGTAAAGACAATAAAAGTTATATGGAACGGATTTTGATGAGGTATTAACATTTGTCTGATATCCTAATGTCAATTTATGGGAATTTTAAAGCATGTAAGAATTAGTGTGTCATGAGCATACTTTATGAAATTTACATGTAATAAAATGTGTTAAGAAATTAGTTAGGGACGAGAGAGCTAGTAGATTGTATAGAACTCCTGCTCTGCATGTGATTGAACCAGGCTCAATCTTCAGTAACGCATATAGTCTCCCAGGCCCCACCAGGAGTGATTTCTTGAGTGCAGAGCCAGGAGTAAACCTTTGAGCTGGGTATAACCCCAAAACCCCCAAAACTACTAATCTAGAAACATTCTTAATGTTAACTTGTGATCTTTGAGAAGAAACTTTATATCTCTTCTCAACACTACCTTTCCACCACACACACCATTTTTTTTCTTCTTACAATGATGCTGGTTGCACATATTTGGTTACTATGCTCACCAGAGGTTACAGATCTGGTTGCGATGCCTACACACTTGGCTGCAGGTGCTGCAAAGGTAATATTCCTCTGATTGTACTGCTTATACACATTAATGGTTGTAGTCCTCTGGAAATCTCTGTAAAATCACACATGTGTTTACCAGAGGTTGCATTCCTGATAGTAGTGCTGCATATCTGTAGTTGTTGAGCTTACTGGAATCATAATTTTTTAATTTTTGTTTCTTCTCATATATCTGTGTGCTGGAGGTTGCACACCCTGTTATTTGCCAGCAATCCCAGACAGCAGGGCTACCAGGACCATGCCAGGACCACTGGGGAAGTTGGGTGTGGTGCAGGGGCCTGCGGGAGGTGTGGTTAGGAGCAGAGGGCAGCACTGGGGATGGAACTCATAGCTGCATGCTTGCATGGCCTCTGTGTTTTTAGCAGCTGAGTTCCCTTGGCCTTGGAAATTTTAAGAGCTGTAGCACTGTCCTCCTGTTGTTCATCGATTTGCTTGAGTCAGCACCAGTAATGTCTCCATTGTGAGACTTATTACTGTTTCTGGCATATCGTATACACCACAGGTAGCTTGCCAGGCTCTACCATGCGGGTGAGAGATTCTCAGTAGCTTGCCGGGCTCTCTGAGAGGGGCAGAGAAATCGAACCTGGGCGACCCAGGTTGGTCACGTGCAAGGCAAACTCCCTACCCGCTGTGCAAATGCAAAAAGAGTTTGCATTTATTTGGATTGTACATTCCTTAATATTTTCAGTGTTTTAGAAAGCAACATTTAAAACGCAACTATGATTAACAATTTGTTATTTTAATGCAGGAAAACTAAATATAATTGCATTGACTGTTAATCTTGAAATCTAATAAGTATTTAAAGATTAACTATATTCTTAATACTCTGGTTTTACCTTGTGGATTTTTTTTATATCACATGTTTAATTTAAAACAATTTCAAATTCCCAAATCATTCAGAATTTTAAAAATCATGTTCATATTCTTACAGATGTCTCTTAGGACATAAAAACAAATCTAAACCTTTTAACTTGTTAATTTTTCTTAGTGATAATTATAATGTATTGGACAAAGTGAATGCTAATTAACTACTTTGCCATTCATATCCTTCTTGGGTTTGTGAGCAAATTAATATAGTATGTTTTTGTATTGAATATTTATAAGTGTATGTAACAATATATGTTATTCCAGTGTATGGAAAAACAGAATTGTATGGTTATTAATAATGATTTTTTTCTAAACATTTGATAGCTCTTCTCCAAAATTATCTGAATGCCTTCAGAAGAAAAAAGAAATAATTGAACAAATGGAGATGAAACTGGATACTGGCATTGATAGGCAAGTTACTGGTTTCACCTTTTTTTTTTAAATTGTAGAAATACCATTAAAGGAGCATAAAAATGGTTTATTATCTTAATATGTATTGGAATGTTGTTTTTATTGGATTGCTTAGTTATTTCTCGAAGTTATTATATTGTATTTACTTTAACATCAAGATTTAATTTATAACCATTTTAGTCAGTTCCCTCCTCCTTTGTACACATGCACATACAAACTAAAAAATGGTATGGAGTCCAGAGAGATAGTATGCTGAGCAGGGCCCTTGCCTTACACATGTCTGATCTGGATTCAATCCCTGGCACTCCATATCATTCCTGAGCACTTCTAGGAGTGAGCCCTGAGTTTGCCCTGTATGTCCCCCCAAAATGAGTCAGAAATATGATATAAAGATCTATATATATATATATTTTTTTTTTTTTTTTTGCTTTTTGGGTCACACCTGGCGATGCACAGGGCTTACTCCTGGCTCATGCACTCAGGAATTACTCCTGGCGGTGCTCAGGGGACCATATGGGATGCTGGGAATCGAACCCAGGTCGGCCACATGCAAGGCAAACGCCCTACCCACTGTACTATCACTTCAGCCCCAAAAAGATCTGTATTTTTATTTACAGTTTCCAGACTTGTATTTGAAATGTTTTCAATAAATACACCAAATTTTAAAAATAATTCCTAGTAAGTGAATTTGTAAATTCTACTATAAATTTTTTAATTGCTTCTTAGTTAGTACTGTATCACTGTTATCCTGTTGATCATTGATTTACTTGAGCAGGCACCAGTAACATCTCTATTCATCCCAGCCCTGAGATTTTAGCAGCCTCTCCTTACTCGTCTTTCCCTATGCTGCCATATTGGACGCTCTTTTCAGGGTCAGGGGAATGAGACCTGTTATTGTTACTGTTTGTGGCTTATCGAATACACCCCGGGTAGCTTGCCAGGCTCTGCCATGCACCTATTAGTTAATTGCTTATAATTCTAAAAAGAAGGGTTGCTGCTTTTTTTGAGACGGTGGTAGGAATATATTTTGCTGATGATTATAACAGCTATCGTTTATAAAGCATAGTTCAAGAGTCAGATACTATAGCTATATTATTTCACATTTTAGGTAGGAAGTATTTCCATTTTACAGATGAAGGACAGAGACTTAATGATATAATTTGTTCAGCATCACACATTTTAAGGTAGTACTCATTCTAAAGCCCATGCTACTTGGTTTGGGTTTGTCTTTACTGTAATTCTATTCAAGGAAACATATTAGAATGCATATTGTATATATGCTGTTGTAAGAATATCTGAAATTCAGTAAAATTTATGAAAAGAACTTTCATTGAACTATAACAATAAATTACTTGAAATTCACCTCCCAGTTGTTTTCTCACAAGATCAAGAACAACCAGAGTATATGATAAGGAAAAATAAAATTGAAGAATAAAGCTGGAAAAATAGAGATATTTATAATATTACTCATATTAGTTTGCTGAATAATTGGCTTCTTTTTAAGAAACTTAAAGTGCATTCTTTCCTTTTGTTTTTAGTTTTTAGTTTTTTTTTAACATTTTGCATATATTGAACTTCATTAAATGTTATCCTGTGTAATACAATCACATTATATTTATCACTTTCAAAAGTTTATTTTCCTAATCTAAATTTCTGACGTAAATGTAAGATAACTTTGGGGCTGAAGAGATATAGTATACTACGTAGGACATGTGTGTGTCCAACCCACATTCTATCTGTGACACTATATATGGATCCCTGAGCCTAGTCAGGAGGGATCCCAGAGCACAGAGCTGGGAGTAAGCCCTAAGCACAGCAAGTCTGGCCCAAAAATAATCAAACAAAAACTAAGATAGTTTTGCTTAGAATATTTGAAAATGATTTTGGCAAGGGGCCTGAGGGTGAGATTGGATACATTAGACCTTTAGAACTACATTAATATACATTTTTTTTACTATCTTAATATATATTAATTTTGTATTTTAGTTTAAATCTATTTCCAAGTCTTTAAATTTCTTGATTAACTGAAAATGACAGTTGTCTATAGTGATTTCTTGAATTTGTAATCATCATCTACTACTGTTCATTGGGGTAAAAGGTAAACTAAGCATTTATCTGTTTCCCTGCTTCTGTTTTCAAACTATTAACCATCTACTGTTAGGCCAAAACTCTGTGGCCTTTATAGCTCACATTCATCATCTTCCGTTATTGCTCTTGTTGCTCAATCCTTTATATCAGACCATTCATTCATGGAGCATTTATTTTTTTTTTTCTACTGTTGTATATGTGTGTGATTGGTTTGTTTTCTTGATCACCTCTAGCCACTTACTCCTGTATCTGACTGGACTTTTTTTACATTGAAAACAAAAATCTTTGAACATAAAGATCCTGCTTGGTGCTTACAACCTTGTTTCCATTCTGTATGCCGTTTTCTGATCTCAGCAGAAATTCTAGACCTTAGCGTCTTCATCATTTGTCAATCTGTTACCTTTTCCTGCTTTTCCTATTCATCTTTATGCTTAGATTATTAATTCCATGCCTTGAATAGCCCCTCATAATTGTCCTAAAATCCATTTTATTACCATTTCTAAACTCTGATTCATTATAGTTTCTCTATTTTTTTGTAGGATCAGAGTAGGGCTCTGCAGGTATGCTGGGGACCACTAAGGCTACCAAAATTGTGTAATGGAGACCACATGATGTGCGGTTTGAACCCAGGGTCATATGTATGTCAGGCCTCATTATAGTCTCTTATTCCCTTAACTGGGCTGGAGCGATAGCATAGCGGGTAGGGCGTTTGCCTTGCACGCAGCCAACATGGCCGACCTGAGTTCGATTCCTCCGCCCCTCTCTGAGAGCCCGGCAAGCTACCGAGAGTATCCCGCCCACACGGCAGAGTCTGGCAAGCTACCCATGACGTATTCGTTATGCCAAACACAGTAACAAGTCTCACAATGTTACTGGGCCCGCTCGAGCAAATCGATGAACAACGGGAGGACCGTGACTGTGATTCCCTTAACTGGGTGGCCAATTACTGTTAGATTACTTAAACATAAGTGATGCTATTATAATCTCTTGCTCTTATATCTCAGTAGGGTCTTTGGTACTGCTTGTCCCAGCCTCCTGCTTGTGCTGAGACTGAAAGGTTAAATTTGGGAAACTCAATTATTCTTCCAAACCTTGGCATTTGAAAATTGTTTGCTTGTTTGTTTTGGGGCCTCATTCAGCGATACTCAGGAGTCTCCTGGCTCTGGGCTCAGGAATTACTCCTATTGGTGCTTGGGGCTACCACATGGGATGCCAGGAATTGAACCTGGGTCTGCCATGTGCAAAGTAAACACCTTACTTGCTATACTATCACTCCAGTTCTCCAAACCCTGGTATTTTTTTTATAAGCCTGCCCTCCTGCCCTCCTTTTTAAGCATCTCTCCATGTAGCTTTCTTTCTTATTAAAAATTTCTATTATAATTTAGACAACATAGTTAAAATACTGTTATGGTTCCGATGTACGTTTACTACACCTCACCACCACCAAGCACTGCAGGTAGGACATTTGTCTTGTATGCGGCTGACCCAGATTCGATTCCTCTGTCCCTCTCAGAGAGCCCAGCAAGCTACTGAGAGTGTCCTGCCCGCAAGGCAGAGCCTGGCAAGCTCCCTGTGGCGTATTCCATATGCCAAAAACAGTAACAAGTCTCACAATGGAGACGTTACCGGTGCCTGCTCGAGAAAATCGATGAACAACAAGAGGACAGTGCCACAGTGCTACACCACCACCAAAGGTGTCAGGACCCTGTTAACACTATTCCTGTGTCACCTCTTTAGTCTGCCTTTTCTTGCCTCCTCACACTCTTCCACGTCCTCCTCTATTGCTTACTTAGTAATCTTGAGTTTTGTATCTTACATTGGGGAGTGGGGGGGAGGTGGGGCTGGTGTGTGTGTGTGTGTGTGTGTGTGTGTGTGTGTGTGTGTGTTTCACTTTTTTTTTTTTTTTGCTTTTTGGGTCACACCCGGCAATGCACAGGGGTTACTCCTGGCTCTGCACTCAGTAATTACTCCTGGTGGTGCTCAGGGGACCATATGGGATGCTGGGAATTGAACCTGGGTTGGCCGCGTGCAAGGCAAACACCTTACCCGCTGTGCTATCGCTCCAACCCCCACATTGTTCTTTTAAGGGAGTCTGAGGAGCAAGGAAAAGAGAGGGTCCCATAAATAAGATTTTCTTCAAATAGATTTTAGACAAATTAATTTTTGCCTTTTTATTTGAAGGGAAACAATAAAACCCAATAGCTCTCTGACAACAGGACCTGGAATTAACTTTTTTCTAAAATCAAAGATACATGGTAGCAAAATGGTTTGTTAATTTGGTACAAATGTAAAAATGTAAACAGACTTAATGGATCAAGTAGATTGTATTTTCCATTCTGTAGGACATTAAATTGTATGATTGGACAGATGAAGCATATCTTAGCTGCAGAACAAAAGAAAACAGACTTTAAGCCAGAAGATGAAAACAATGTTCTGATTCAATATACTAATGTAAGTAAAATGATTCAATTTACTAGTAAGAATATCTGCCTTGTTACTACTTTTGTTAACATTTTCATTGGTGCATCTTTCTGGATGCTTTCTTTTTCTCTTTCTTAGAGATTAATGAGAAACTGGAATTTAAGTTGTATACACATTTCTATATAATAAATGCAGAAATAATTTTACAGGCCTGTGTTAAAGTCTGTGCTTATGTAAGAAAGCAAGTAGAGAAGATTAAAAATTCCATGGATGGGAAGAATGTGGATACAGTTCTGATGGAACTTGGAGTACGTTTTCATCGACTTATTTTTGAGCATCTTCAACAATATTCCTACAGCTGTATGGGTGGCATGTTAGCAATTTGTGATGTTGCTGAATATAGGAAGTGTGCCAAAGACTTCAAGGTATGTATACACAGATAATTGTATTATAAATAACCTAAAGAATATGTTAGACCATTCAAAACTTGTACCTGCAGGCTCTAGAGAATAGTACAGGGGATAGGGCATTTGTTTTGCACACAGTCAACCTGGTTTCCATCCCCAGAAACCCATATGATAACCTTAGCACCACCAGGAGTAATATATGAGTGCAGAGTCCGGAGTAACCCCTGAGCATCGTGGGCTGTGGCCCCAAAACCAAAATAATAATTTTTAAAAATAAAAAAAAATTGTACTAAGTCATTACTAGAAAGTTTATAACTTTGTTGATGTTGTAGTGAGATGGATCTAACATTTCCTCCTTCAAAAACTTTTTATTTTCATTAGTAACAAATTGACTTGAATTTTATTTTAAATAAAGCTATATTTCAGGTTTGTAGACCAAATAACCTTACTCTTTAACTAACACAGCTTATGTCACACATAAGCATGTTCTTTCTTAATGTACACTCTGAAATAAGTTTTCTTTATAAAGTTTAAATTGCTTATTAAATATTAAATTAATTTGCTAAATAATGTGCTAAAGTAGTGATAAGTAGCTTTAGACTAAAAAAGTAAAAATAATTGTTACTTTTTAAGAATATTTATACAATCATAAATCTTTTCAGAAAGATTGTGACAAGTTTATGTAACATCTGAAGTATTTGAATGTTAACACTTAAGGAACTTTAAAAAATTCAAATATATCAAATGCTTTAAATTTGTAAGTCCTGACTTTTGTAATAGCTAGCAAAATAATTTAAATGGAGTAATTGTAAAACTAGAAATTATTTTGTTTCAATATTACATTTTTTCTTTCTCTTATCTCAATTTAGATTCCACTGGTATTACAGCTTTTTGATACTCTGCATGCACTTTGCAATCTTCTGGTAGTTGCCCCAGATAATTTAAAGCAAGTCTGTTCAGGAGAGCAACTTGCTAATCTGGACAAGAACATTCTTCACTCCTTCGTACAACTTCGTGCTGACTATAGATCTGCTCGCCTTGCTCGACATTTCAGCTGAGGTTGAATTTACCAGGAAAATGAGCTGTATTAACAGGCCTTGGTTGATAGAAAGCACAGGAGATTTCTTACAACACAGCCAACATTTTAGGGGGGGGAAATAAATGACTGTTTAGAAAAAACAGCAGCCATACTTAAAGCTGAGTATTTATTTGAAATTTGGACACTACTAGCCATATTTTTCTTTTTTACCCTGATGTTGAATTCTGAACTTATGTTCAGAATTGTTCCATTCTGAACTTATAAATTTTGAAATCCGTGAAAATACATGTTACTGATTCATCTAGAAAATGTTGGTGTCAGAAGGAAAATGGGGTCATTTTCAGTGTTCCAAGTTCTATTCTAATATGTTCCTTTGGAATATTTCACCATCCTGTTTTTCCATTAATGATAAAATACAGCAAAAATGTATTTATTATTTATCAATTTCTATTTCTCTTTCCAGCACTGGTCATTACTAATCAATTATTTTAGGTTTCCTAGAGAACATTTAGCCTTTTTCCAGAAGGTTGTTTAACAATTCAACATCATTTCTGTAGTTGGTTGATTGGATATTTCTGAAATAAAATAACACTAAAATAACACTGTTCCAGGAAAAAAATGTTATAAACTAAAATTGATTAAATATTTTATGTAGTTATAGAAGTAGGTCAGAATAGATCTGCTTTCTGGAGAAAAAAAATGAGAAAGTTTATTATTATTTAGTAAACAGATTTTAAACCAATGCTAGCAAGAAATTAATGAAACTACCTTATTTTATATTTCATTTAAGAGAAGGTGGAGAAATGTAACTAAAGGACCATATTTATTCATTATTTTAATATTATAAAGGAAGTGGAAATTTGAAGTATAGTCTAAATGGTGCATATGAGAATATTGACAATGTTTAGCAACGATGCAATTCTTTTAAGATTTTATTGTTAATGCTAAACTTAAATATGGGATGGCTAAACATGCAGGTAGCTTCTATTTTAAGAGGGTCTGGGAATTCACAGATAACATTATATGTTCTAAATATAGGATGATTTTTGCTAAGACTGCTTTCCAAAACTATTACTTCTGTCATTGTTTTCTAAAACATTTCTGAAGTTATTCCAATGAATGTAAATTGACTTAATATCGTGATGTAATAAATCACATAAAACTTAGAACATTGTGGAAATTCAGAAAGGCCATTAATCTATAAACTTGCTCTGCAAGAATGCATTCATAATATGTTGCATTGCAAATTCCATATTGATGTTCATAGTCTTCTAGCAACAGATAAACTTGTAAATTTTTTTTTCTTTAAAGTGGCTTTTCAGCCTACTTTTAAGTGTATGTTTCTGAGTGGTCATCAACTTTACCAAAAGTTCCAACTCCAGAGCTAGCTATTATTTAACTTACAGTTGACTGAATATTCTTCATTTTCTGTTTAACCCAGTGTTAATCAAGTTAAGCAAGAGAAATGAAGTATGCCAACTTTTATCAAAGCATTTGTGGAAATTGTGGCAGCTCTAAAGGCTGTCTAGTTTTCTATTCCTTAGGTAAGGGAGAGCCAGAACAAGTTTTGGATACTAAGAAAAAGTCATATGCTTGTACTTTTGTTATTTTAGAAAGCTCTGATGTGAATTCAAATTATACCTCTGTTACTTAAAGCCAACAATTTTTAGGCAGTAGTTTTACTGGCCATTTGAACTCTTTGTACATGGTGTCAATTTGTAAAAAAAAAAAAAAAAAGGAAAAAAATCTCAAATAAATATGAGAGAACACTTGACGACCTCAAATCAGAGAAGCGATTCAAATTATTTTGTTTGAATTAATTCTTTACATGTGAAAAATTAATGTTGCTTAGATATTTTGTTAATTACTTTTTCCTTGCTTGAGTCTGTGCAATATTTTCTATTATGTCCATTGACAGAGCAGTGACAAAATTCATGAGTAAATACTTAATTTAGAAGTGTTAACATATTGCTCAATAAACAAATTCCCTGTAGTTGTTTTTTATTTCACTCTATTTTTACATTCTAAGGATATCTATGTTGAATTTTATATATTTATTGAAATTTTAAGATGTTCCTAATTTTACATAGTTGTAGGTAAGTATTCTTTCTCAGTTCCATGTTTTTTCAGAAAAGTACTTGACTACAAATCCAAGATTAGAAATTTGGCTTAAGTAGATTGTCTTTCTCTAAGAAATAAAATTTTGTCCCGGGGATGTGTGGCTCAAGTGATACAAATTCAGATGATAGGGTACTATTGGTACCCTAAGCATATGATCCTTATGGCCTCATAGCATTTCCAGGCCAAGCACTGCTAGAGTGGCAGCAGAACAATAACAAATATAAAACTTAATTTATAAAATCACATGCATTCTTTATTATGATTTTTAAAGTATTTTTTACATTTCTTGCCACTGCAGAATTTTGCCCAAAATTTATGTCAGATTATCAGTAAAATTTTCAATACAAGCGGGGGGTGGGTGTGTGGGGAAAAAATTTTTTTTCGTATACATGCTCAGATGTATAAGAAAGTTGTAGTGATTGGGGTCTCAAAATGCTCCACTATTCCACATGAGCTAGCATTATATTTAAAGGTTGAAAATATCTTCTAAAACATTACTAATTTATGAAAACAAATTATGAAATTTGGGCATGTCTACATAAAATGTTATAGAAAGTGAAATAAAATACATTTAAGAAGGAAATCTAGTTTCTGTAAATTAAAAAAGTGACAGCAGACCAATGTAGATGAGTAGTCCTTAGGAAGAATTAAGAAGTAAGTGGATCATTAGCTGATTATCTGCTTTTCCAAAATAATTATTAGCCTCCTTTTGAGTTGCACGTCCCTAGAATTTTTCTTGTTTTACAATGAAATGCCTGAAGTAGGTTAATTTATTATGTATTTTAGACCAATTTTTCCTTTTGTTTTATTAACATCAACCTTCTTACTCAGTGAAATAACCAGCTGATTGTTTGACTGAGTAACAGAAGAATTTACTGCTGACTTAAAGAGCTTTTTTTCTTATCTGTAATGGGAAATATTTTAAGTATTCAATTAAACATTTGGTTTCTGAAATGCCACAACCCCTTAAGGGGAAGTCATATTTAAGTGCTTAGAGTTTATTTTAAATTGTCAGTCTAAATGAGGTTCGGTTCATTTGTGAATTACCTCAAAAAGGTTACATCTGGAATTTAACTTTTTTATTAAAAAAAGTAAAAATATTCTGCATGTTACTCATATATTGCCATTGACTTCAGACCCTGAGATATCTCTGTAAGCATGGTGAATGCTCCTAATTTCTAGTGGGGAATTTGACATTCAAAGCTTTACTCTCATCCATGCAGTTTATGTTCTCCTGTTTTTGTACCACTTACCTACCTGAAAATGTTGGTCCTGAATTATATTGTGTACTGTGGAGGAAAAGACCAGTTTATCCTTTTACTTAGTGTTTGTTTTTATTTGGGGGTGACACCCAGCAGTGCTCAGGGTTTAGCATTACAGAGTCATTTCTTGTGTTGCTCAGGGGATCATGAATGGTGCTGGGGATTAAAACCAGATTAGTTCATACTTTTAGACTAATTCCATATGAAGTTAGAAAGGATCTTTTAATGTAAAATAAAGATAATATGACAGTATATTGACTTATTCCCCTGCACTGTATTTTTTTTTGCACATATTGTTTGATTCCAAAGCAATCCTAATTGTTGTGCAGTGTTTTCATTTGACACATGAAAACCTAAGATAAAAAAAGATTGAGTATACTTGCACAAGATCCCCAGCCAGTTTAAAAACTGATAACTTTCTTGCTTGCTTTTATATACTATACACTATTCTCTTTATGTAATATTAAATAGGTCTTTAGTTGGAAAGGGTCATTTAATCCAATTTTATCTAATGTTTAGTTCTCAATGTTTGGTTCTCTTTGTAAACTTAAAGATTACAAAGTTTATATACAGAGAGTATCTAATATACTGTGTGTGTGTGTGCGTGTGTGTGTGTGTGTGTGTGTGTGTGTGTGTGTGTCCAGTGTGTGATCAGACTCTGTATTTGATTTACAGGTGAATATGACATTTTTGCTGAATACTAAATTTGCACCTAATAGAAATCTTGCTATCAGGAACGTTATCCTTAGTACTATTTCATGTAATGCTCTGCTTTTTAATTCTTATAGTAGCAAGAGTCTGGCTACTTTGTACCATATTTTGAAATATGGAAATAAAGGTAGTAAAGCCCTAGCTTGGCAGAGATGAAGAAGCCAGTATTCCTATCTTCAAAAACTGATTATATTAAGTGCCATACCTTGCCAGTTCTATTAATTCTTAGTGCTTTAAACTGTTTTAAATAGCTATTGCTAGAGTGAAAATGTATGGAGAAAAAAATTTACCCAGTGATTCAGAGGTTATTATAATGTAATTAGACGCTACGTGTTTAGCCTTTCAAAAATGCTTTAACTCTTTATTTTTATTCCTACCACTGAAAATCCCTTCGTCTTTTCAAATTTAGTGCTGAAACAGCCCCTCGTATTTTTTTTTTTTTTTGGAGGAGAAAGCTGGCACATCAGAGAAAAAGATTTTTAGTTGGTCATCTAGAGCAGGTAGACAAATAACCCTGGGCTTAACAATACTTATATTTTATAGTTAAACTCTGTATACTTATTACTGTTATTTAGGAAGGACTTGTAAAATTTAGTTCTTGTGATTAATATCTACTTCTGGGGGAAAAGACAAGTAATTGCCCGTACTTGCTCATTTTCTAAGTGCTTTAGAAGGTTACATTGTGCCTCGCCATACAAAGCCAATTTAATATGACTATATCACATTATACTCCAAATAGCAAACAGCCTCAGAGAAAAGTCATTTATTCACATGACATAGATTTGTGTTAGACAGCAGTGGTGCATTACAAATATATAATTATTTGCACCAATATTTGAGCAGGTGGAATGGATTAGAACATTGTCAACATTATGCTGCTGATAACATGTAGTTTTCTATATTAATATGTACTGTGCAACATGTATTTAAATTGTCAATAATTCATTTTAACCAAGATACTAATATTTATATTACTGTGTTTAAGAGACAGTATCCAACTGGGCCACTTTTAATTTAAAAGTCTCAAACAGGAATTAAGTTTACTTTCAAAACTCTTAAATTACTGTATAGTCAATGGAAGGTTAGTGAAATACAGAATTATCTGTGACTGGTAGTTTAATAGGGCAAAATAAGGAGGTTTTAAGTATCAGAAATGAGTAAGTTCATGTTTATCCTCAAATGAGTGATTTTTTTTTGTTTTTGCCACTGGCAATCTCAAATGAAGAAAAATGTTTTATTCCTTCCTGTGTCTTTTCATAAATATTGAATAAATCTTGGGTTGAACAGAACCAGCTTTCAGGAATTTATCTCCAATGGTGTACTTCCAGTTCTTTTAGATTAACCTTGAGAGGTAGGAAGCCCTGCTGAAATTCCTACACTAAGTAGTCAGGTGCCTTGAATGAAGCTGTTTGTTTATTTGCTTGTTAGATATGTTTAATCTATACTGTGCGTAAATTTGATTTGAACTCTGGTGTTTCATATGGCAATTCTGCTAAATCTGCAATTTTTGCTACAGAGAATATTATCCAAATAGAGTCTGGATAGTGCTACCTTTAAAACTGAAACTGGTGCCAGGGAGAGTACAGAGGTTGGGGCAATTGGCCTTGCTTGCAGCCAACCTGGGTTCAATCACTGGAACCCAGTTTAGCACCCTGAACCCATCAGGAGTTGATTCCTGAGAGCTAGAGAGAGGAGTACGCCCTGAGCATAGCCAGGTGTGGCCCCCAAACCAAAACAAATTGTGAAACTTCCTCTCAGTATATTGTTTGCAAATACTGTGTACTATTTAGAGAATAACATGGGAGGTTCACAGGAAATTATGTAAAAATATAGGAAATTTTAAGTGACTCTCCACGAGATTCTCCAGTAGAATGTATTTTTAATTTTTGCCACAAGAGGGAGAAGTTATTTTCATAGGAATATTTACATTTTAATTTTGTTTTAAAAGCAGAACTCTACAGGAGAGAACAACACCAATGAGCATGTCACTGTTCTAATTAGGAGGATTGTGTGCCTACGTGTACTTAAAGTCAGAAAGTGAGTACGTTCCTAGGGGAAATTAATAAAATTAAACCAGTTTTAAAAAAAACATGTATAGACATAAGAACTGAACCATAATTAAATTTTAGAGACATATTTCACTGAACTTTATCAAACTTTTAATAAGAATCAACTCATTTTCTGCATTCTGCATTTTACTATTTTATTTTCTTGACGTTTGAATCACCATGAGTTGCAAAGTTATTTATGGTTGAGTTTCAGGAGTATGTTGAGCACCAGCCCCTCGACCAGTATTCCCTTCTCTCTACCACTGTCTTCAGTGTCTACCACTGAAGGGTGAGGGCACACCCTTCAGCTTGCTTTATATATATATATATATATATATATATATATATATATATATATATATTGCTGGGCTGAATAGCACAGTGGGTAGAGTGTTTGCCTTGCACGTGGCTGACCCGGGTTCAATTTCTCCATTCTTCTCAGAGCCTGGCAAGCTACTGAGAGTATCCAACCCACCAGGCAGAGCCTGGCAAGCTGTCCTTGGAATATTTAAAATGCCAAAAACAGTAACAATAAGTCTCGTGATGGAGACATTACTGGTGCCCGCTCAAGCAAATCGATGAACAACAGGACGACAGTGCTACATTACTTTATATACATATATATTATGAATAATGCAAATTACTGTTCCTGAAAGGGCATATCACTTTCTTTATATCATTACCTCCTTTTAGCACCCAGTTCTCATCCAGAGTGACCACTTCCTCTATCATTGTCACAGTGGTCCCTTGCCTGTCCTAACCTTCACTGTGGCAAGTTTTCTACTGAATGCAGTTCTCCTGCCTTTTGTTTTGCCTATTGTTTGGGGGCATTTTTTTCCTATTGTATTTAT